CAAGCTGCCAATTAATAGATTAGTTCTGCAAGTAATAAAAATAAACAAAAACTAATACAATCCAAACATGCAACTTTGCCAGAATATTCCTTGCCCTGCTTCTTTGTTGAATTTTGGAACTTCCATCCTCTAGTTTGGATCTTAGAAAGAGAGAGGTAAATATATAGAATACTTTTGGGGGGAAAGGAATTCATACTTTTGGGGGGAAATTTCAATTTCAGTCAAAATTCTTGTATAAATCACAGATACGTATGTATGTATATACAGCTCAAGTAAATCTTTACTCAATCAGTCATGTAAGCATTTTACCCCACCATAGACAGCCTCCAGTGAGAGGTGCTTTGGAGAGAACGATAGAAATGAAAGAAGACCAGATTTGTACTTGCTGACATCTATTCCATGAATGAATGTAAAACAAAAAACAATTTGTGTTAATATGTTACCATTGATGGCTATTCAACATTAATCAGAATTAGTTAGTTACCATTGATTTGTATTTATGATGTTAGTTAGTAAAACACTATGATTTATGCTAAATCAGAATTAAATAAAATAAGAAAAATGTATAATATTATTTATATAAATGTTTTGTTATAAATGTGTTTCTACACGACATGAAAGTATTTGTGATGTTAGTTAGTAAAACACTATGATGTACGCTAAATCAGATAAATATATATTTCTGATGGTATATACATATAACAGTTGACATATAGTGAGAATTATGATTATAAAACATTTGTTTGTACACAATTAAATAAATAAGAGAAATGTATAATATTATTTATATAACTGTTATGTTATAAATGTGTTTCTACACTATATGAAATGAATTTGTGATGTTAATTTATAAAACACTATGATGTACGCGAAATTAGGAAAATATATAATATTATTTATATAAATGTTATATTATAAATGTGTTCCTACACTACATGAAAATTATTTGTGATGTTAGTTAGTAAAACACTATGATGTACGCTAAATCAGATAAAAATATTTTTGTGATGGTATATGTATGTAACAAATGATAGATAGTGAGAATTATGATTATAAAACATTTGTTTGTATCTGAATTAAATAAATAAGAGAAATGTTTAATATTATTTATATAACTGTTATGTTATAAATGTGTTTCTACAGTACATGAAATGTATTTGTGATGTTAATTTATAAAATACAATGATGTACGCGAAATCTAAAAAATGTATAATATTATTATATACATGTTATTTTATTAATATGTTCCTACACTACATGAAAATTATTTATAATGTTAGGTAGTAAAACATTATGATGTACACTAAATCAGATAAAAACATGTAGAAAGATAATCACTAATGTAATGCATTCTAAGATACGACTGCAATTACAAAACATATCACCCCAATACAAAAGTAGTATTCCAAATAAGATTTCATTTATGCAACAAGGTAAGGAGAAGTAAAATAACCGCCAATCCAAACAAGACCATTGCTGCAACAAAGAAGATAAAAAAAACTTTTGAAATTGACAAATATAGATTAACAAGATCGGCAGCTAGAGCAGAAGTAGTTGCATGACCAACAGGGTTTTGAATAGGGGCTGGTGAATCCACCCACACAAAAAAAGAACAACTTGCTGCACAATTGAAGAATCACCTCCTTGAATTTTCTTTTGTCTTCGAAACATGCAAGAGACTCAATTCTGCACAGAAACATTTTGGGTGTGCCACTTTACACCTACGATGTATTCTATTGTTGCTGGATTCAACCATTGAAGACCTATGTCAGAAGGATACCAACCTACAGAAAAAATAGAGAAGATGAAATGAAAAAAGATTAGGGAAGGAGATGGGAAATAAGTGTCTGTATTTGTGTGTGTCTATATATATATATCTATACATATGTCTCTGTCTACATGTCTAAGTGTTGTAACGGTTCCCTTCACAGACTTAACGGTTGTATTTTAACGCTCAAGAATTTCAAAACTAAAAATTATATTATTATTCATATTGAAAATAGAATAATTATATTATATTTTAAATATGAATATATAGTTACGTGTCTAAGCTATGTTTCGCGTAATTACATCAGTAGGGGTACAACTTGGGTTAGGTAACCCCGAATCCAACCCGAGACCAGCCCGATATTTCACAATTAAGGTTGGGTTTGGGTTGAAAAATATCAACCCAAATTTAATTAGGGTTGGGTTTGGGTTGAAGTGCTAGCAACCCGAGCTAACCCGAAACTGAATTATAATATTATTTTCAAATACATTATACATAATGTTCAAAATATACAAAAAGTATTTACATCAAATTATGTATGTTAAATCATGTTCAAAAATTATATTATAAATCATTATCTTTATTGAAAAAAATAATATTGTAAAATTGTAATATAAATGTTATGTTATAAAAGTGTTCCTACAGTATATGATATTTTTTTTTCTGATGTTAGTTACTAAAACACTATGATGTACGTTAAATCATGTTAAAATATGTTTGTGATGGTATATGCATGTAACAGTTGACATATAGTGAAAATTAATATTAAAAAATATTTGTTTACCATATTTAAACATTAAAGGAAGACGAGATACCACAACTGAGAAAAAACATAACGTAATAGATAAAGTACATATTTCATATTTCATGTAGTACACATGAAAGTAAGTTCCTTATAGGAACTATACAAAAGGCTTGATTCACATCACAGCACGAAGCAAACAAAACATCACAGAAGTACAAGAGGGTTGTTGCATTCATTTTCTACCTTCTACTCATCATATGGAGAAGAAGTTACTTGCTGGACCCGCCTGGGGAATTATTGCCGGACCCGCTTGGGGAATCTGGAGAGGATATGGGTGTTAGAGGAAACAACTCGTTCATGAGGGCATCGTCGTTGTCATTTTCCAGGTCTGTTAATCGACCCTCCACCCATCGCAGTTCTTTCTCCATCATTTTCATCTTCTTAATGACACGGGTCAACTTACCCATGACGGTATTTGGAAAGGTAACGTGGTGCATATCCAACTCATTAGTCTCATCTGTTGATAAGTGTTCAAATGTTGCGCATTTTAGCGCCTAAGCTAGGGTATTCTAGTCCATTCATCTATTTTATTTCTCGTTTTAGTTCTAATTTATATTTTTGTCTATTTCAGGTCAATAAGGTTCAAACAGGCTAAAAACAACCTATTAAGCCCTTTTTGGAGTCAAGAAGAAAATTCGAAAAAAGTCAGAAAAATTGCATTGGATAATCTTCGATCGATCGAAAATTGTTGGCGATTATTCGAAGAGATCCTCGATCGATCGTATTCAAGGCAATGCCAGCTTAGTGGATAAAAAGATGCCAGATGTCAAGATTAATATACCACGTCAGCTTTAATCGATCGCCAAAGTCCCCGATCCATCGAAGACCCCTTCGATCGATCGAAATCGTGTTGGCAGAGAGCTGTTTAATTCCCGAGCGTGCCTGAACTCCACCTAACTTTGGGCTACGAGATTGCACCAATTAGAAGGCCATATTTTGACTTGGAGACCACATAAAAGGAGCTTGTATTTAAATGAAATTGAATCATTTTGTTAGGGTTCTCATTTTTTAGCTAGCTTTTACATAGATTAGACATAGTTAATTTCTCTCTCTAGATTGGGGTTCTTGAGCAAAGCAAAGAGGAAGAAGACGGAGATTACATTAAAGATAGCCCTCGAGGGTTGGATGACAACAACTATGAGTGGCTAGATCTTCCTCTTAGGGCTAGAGATAGCCCTAGGCTTGCCTTCTAAACTCTAGTATTTTGTTATTTTTGGGGATTTATGTTATAAATGATGTATTGACCTTATGATTATATAGATCTTGAGTTTCTACATGATTTGTATGGATCAATTCGTCCAATTAATCTTTCAATTTTATTTACATGTCTATGTGTGGTGAAATGGATGATTATGTTTTTACATTAGATTCTACAAATTTGATGCATGTTTATGTGTGTTGGAATTGTGAATCTAGTGATTGTCAATGCATGGTGCTTATTGGCTACTCTTTTTGGCACCACATTCACCTCTTCCTTGCCTAGTCAACTTAGGCCTTGCCATTTTGGTAAGTCTTCATTCCCTTAAGGGTTTTGAAGATACACGATTTATCCAAAATTCACATACTAACCCTTAAAAGAATTGACATCTCACGGTAAGCTCCATATAACTCGCTATGTGTCGTATTTATTTTGGTCCACTGATACCATCATAGTATAAGCTCCATATGTTGAATGCTGATTAATTGGACAAACCTTGCCTTGAATAACTGCATGAGTTTGCATGCATGGAAGTATTTCCAGGGGTGGACATAGGGGTAGGCAAAGGTGGGCTGTAGCCCACCCAAAAAAAAAAAAAATTTTTTTTTTAATATATTAGCCCAACCCAAAAATTAAAAAAATTAATAGTATTAGTCCACCCCAAAAACCCAATGAAACCCAAGTAAACTCAGCCACCATACTAAAATAAAGGCCCAAACCAATTCCTTAGTATTCATATTTAATGTTAGCTCACCCTACCTAGAAATCCTGGATCCGCCCTTGGTATTTCCATGCAATCCTTCTATCTCATTAGGAAATCGTGGGTCATTGTTTAAAGATCGAAAGTCCTAATAGGACTCACCACTTTCTTTAAAATAGAAAATTGCACGTGGTGGGATTTAACTGCCCACTTATCTTTGCTTCCAATTGCTACATGATATTACATATTTTTAATACTCCAACCAAAGTTTACGATAGTTGCGATCTAGCGTGACAAGTTCCATTGGAACTCACCACATATAAAATCAGTCCTCAATAATTTCATACTATAATCTCATTGGAATTGGCCACATGTCACCTCTCCATTAGGCTAAAAATAATGGAATAAACATATATATATATATATATATATATATATATATATATAATTTCGTATATTTTCAAAAGACCTTTTTTTACCATAACACTGTTTGTCTCCCGTCCCCACCCCACCCGCCCCCCAACCCACCCACCCCCCACCGCGCCCCCCCGGGGGGGCGGCGCAACCCCTCCAATTTTATTTTGATTTTCATCATTCAAAGAAAACCATTCAAAGTTCTGTCAATTATACTCAAACTTGTGTCCCTTGTTTTTACATTGATTCAAAGAAAAAGCTTTGCTGCTTCAACTATCACCAACAACACACCGGTCACTTTCTCTCTCTACATTTCCTGTTAATAATCCCTTTTTTCCCTTTTCTTCTGTAAATTTGTGCTAGGGTTTTGTATTCCTGACTGATTGGGATTTCCCCCTTTTTCTCTTTGGGATTTGAAAGAACAGAGAAAGCGAAGAAAGATGCGGTGAATGGAGGTGTGCAAGAAGCTTTCAGATCTGAATTACATGTCCGTCAAACCTACTTAATAGACCTTCTCTGTCCAGTTCTTGTTTTGGTTAGTGTTATTTTTTGTTTAGTTTGGTATTTAATTTTGTATTGATCTTCAATTTGTAATTCTCCTTATAGAATTTTTCCTTTTGTTCAATATGTTTGTCATTGTTGTTTCGTTTCTGTATTTCGTCATGTTTGAGGAAATGTTTTGGTGAATTATACTTCACTGAATATAAGACTTGTAATTTTATTTACTTGGTTCTGCATTCATTTTCATTATTTATTTTTTATTTTTGTTGAAACACAAAGTCAAGAGTGTAACAACCTATCATAGTATAATTTTTGATGTTATGTTTTAATTTTTTTGTTTGTCATTTATCATTGCATAATTTACGTTCACATATCGGAAATAATATTTATGAATATTGGCAAACCGGATACAAGTCATTTGGTAAGTAGTACTTTGAGTGCTGATTTTTATCTTTGTATTCTTTTATTATTTTTCTTGGAGTTTGATATTAGGGAAGTATATGAATTGCATCTCTCTTTTCATTGGATCTCTTTCTTTTCTCCTCCCTCTCTTTAATTTGTTCCAAGAGTCGGGTGAAAGTTGTTCATTCAACTTTTGCAAGGTGTGAAGAGAAAAACCCCTTGTAAGTTGGTAGCAGAATTTTATCCCTCAACAATGCCTTAGGCCCTTAAGTAAGTTCCTCAATATGAGCATTTGAAGATTGTAGGAAAATTCACACCAACTTGAATTATAGTGAAAGCAAAGCTCAACTTGTAAAACACAGACGAAAGGCCAATGCTGGCACTGTCGAGCATGTTTCCAGTGAACAACCAAGCATAATTGCTGTCCGAGAGGAAGACCCACCCAAGCAATTTGTAATTTTTGACCACCTTGTCTTCAGCCATGAACGCTGTGCCCCATTTTATCTTCAAGGGGAAAAAAAATGTCTCTCAATATGAGCATCTGAAGATTGTAGGAAAATTCAGACCAATTTAAAGTGAGCACTTCAATGAAACCTTGAGATGCATGCAACTTTGATGGACCAAAAAAAGTACATTATTTTTACTTCACTTAAAGTCACATTAGTTGGTGCTGAACCCTTATAATGATAAACAACAAACTTGATGTGATAATGTTGGTAGTCCTTCCCACATTGTATATGTATATGGTGAACATGCTTCAGTTCTTGCATTTGATTTCTTTATTTCGCCTAGAGAGATTCTTCAACTATTCAAACACTTCCTGTTTGTAGTAGAGAAAAATTAAATATGGGCATATGTGGGGGTTGTAATGAGGCAATCTTAATCCCTCTCGAGTTCTTAGTATCCTTGCAATGACAGGCATTTAGTCCACTTTTTGTGCTTATATACAGATATCACTAAGCATGCAAACACTAGAATTCCAATTAATTGTATGAACAATTTTGAAAAAATGTACCCAACAAATGTGGTCATACCAGTTTTTGACATCAAGCACCTCCAGCCAATTTTCTTCTCTACCAAAGATATATCAAACTCTCGTGAATATTAAATGTGCCCATTTTGAATTTTTCTAGCTACAAATGTGAAGTTACATTAATTGTATGAACAGTTTTGAAAAAATGTACAGGCATGCTCTGCTATCAGATAACTGCCCGGTCACCTCTGAAGCCACTACCTATAACCCAGCACACTACTTTGAGACTAAGGATGCTGATGTAAAGACGAGCAGTTTTGGTCTCATTGATAGTGGGGTTGCTGTAAATAGTCATGTGAGTAGCTAATTTGATAAATTTGAGAAGCAATCGGATGTCTAATATTTTGCATATTTGGATCAAACCATAATTTTTATGCTCTTTCTAAATTTGTAATGGACCCCAATCTAAAATTATTCTTTTGATCTCAATGGAATTGTTTAATCTCTGTTGTTGCCTAAACATTGACTTTGTACATTTACTTGATAATTCCAGGTTCTTTTTGAGGAACTTTTAAACGTTTTGACATGAGAAAAGTGCAGTGATTTTGACGAACCATTTCATATCCAATTTTCAAAAAAAGTTGACAACTTTTGGTTTTTTTTTTTTTTTTTTTTTTTTTTGGTCTTTTTACTTGTAGGTCGTGACATGAGAAAGATCAACATCTAGTCACTGGGTTTTTCATTTATGTTCCTCTTTTTATTTAAAAATTTATTAGGCTTTCTTGGATTTTAGATTTTCTGTAGTTGAAAGACGTGCAAGGTATGCTAGAGATATCTCAAAGTTGCTCATTGAATTACCTAATTGATGAATAGACTGACAGATTGAATATCTCATCGGACAGAAATCATGGGTATTTCTAGCATTTGAAATGATTATTATTCTTTTTGTTTATGGTCATTATTAGAATGTCAGAAATAATGTTGTTTTCCATTATTTGAATTATGTTGTGTTGTAATGAATCATTCTAAAAGCTATCTATTGGTTTTAAAATTCAAGTGTTTCTGAACCAAAATTGAATTTTTGTTGTTGTTGTTGTTGTTGTGAACTTAGGGTATCATAGTGGGTCTTGATAATTTGGATGGAGTTATTGATGTAATTAGGAAAGCTTCAAGCAATTCAGTGGCGTCAGCTGATTTGAGGAAAGGTAAGACACTGTTCTGATCTTATTTTGTGTTTATGATGTCTTGCTTGTTTCGTGCCCTCTTTCCCTATTGAGTTGGTTGCTCTGCTGATGTCCTGGCCTTTTGAATAATTGCCACTTTTCTTCACAGTGGATGCCAGTTGAAGAATATGCAACTCAACCTTTTGTTCAGAAACACAGTATTTTTAAGTAAAATACTGAAATATGCCCAGCGAAGGTACACATGAAATACATTGGATTTTCTCCTGTGCTAATAGCATCATCTTTCAAAGATCAGTTAAGTTACCTCTATTTGAACAACCATGACTTGAGTCAGTAAGTTTCACACTTCATCCCAGACAATTGCTTTAGTTATTATTGTATCATTTTCTTTTTAACAATATATTATTCAATTTGTCAATGTCTAATTATTGCTAGTCACTTGGCTAATAATGAATCAATAAAATGATTTATAGTTATTAATGTATCACTTTTTATTGTCACTGGCCTGACCTGTAGTATAAGTTTCTACTGTGCTTAAAATGAAGAAATCTACTGGTAGAAAATTACTGGCCGTGTTGTGGTTTCTGCCTTGGCAGAATGCTATTGGTTTTGAAATTTCAAGTGTTTTTGTGCGATTCAATGTTTTTGCTTATGAATCAAATATAAATTATTAAAAAAATTTGTATATAAATTAATGCATGTGTACATAAATATTAGTGAATCAAAATGTCATCCATTTATTGAGCTTTTATTTGTTGTTTGAATATAAAATCAAATTCTTACCATATACACATATATTTGTAACCAAGGGATGATATGTTTAACATTATCAGCAACTCTACCAGTGTGAAGGCCTCCACCATGTAAAGGTGAGCGTCTCAATATGCCAATTTTGGGCAACTAGCAATACTTTACCTATCACTCCTGTTGACAGCTTTTGCATTTTGGCGGGGGGGGGGGTGGGGTGGGGTGAAGCTCCTTAAGTTGGACTTTGGTGACCATTTAAGGCTGGTCACTGCCGCCACAGCTTCTTCAAATTCTTCACTCACTTCCACTTCAACGCACAGTCTGACTTGTTAGTGCACTCGCTCGTCAACTGGACTTTGGTGACCATTTAAGGCTGGTCACAGCCGCCACAGCTTCTTCAAATTCTTCACTCACTTCCACTTCAACACACAGTCTGACTTGTTTGTGCACTCGCTCGTCAACTGGACTTTGGTGACCATTTAAGGCTGGTCACTGCCGCCACAGCTTCTTCAAATTCTTCACTCACTTCCACTTCAACGCACAGTCTGACTTGTTTGTGCACTCGCTTGTCAACGATATCAGCCAACTGGACCGGTCTTTTCAATGAATGACTCTTTCACTGAATTCCAACACTTATTAGAATGGGACAATGAAGATCGTTCAGAAGGCACAACCTCATCATAAGTTGATCCTCCCACCAGTCAAGCCATGCGTTTCCATTGCCGATTACGTGCACTACGGCGTTCAATCCATTCAGATCCCATTTTATTAGCTTCATCGATGGCACCACCAGAAGAAGATCCACTCTCCTTCGGATTGGACAATTTTGTCTCTCAAGTATTTAGTGACTTATCCACAATAAACCTTTTAGAGAGAGCTCTAGAAGGTGTCAAAGATAACCATTTGCAATCTGAAATTCCAGTGGACCGTAGAGGACGATCTGAAATGTGAATCGAGTCTAATACGTCATACTTAAGTTGGACTTAAGTTCCTTAAGTTGGACTTTGGTGACCATTTAAGGCTGGTCACTGCCACCACAGCTTCAAATTCTTCACTCACTTCCACTTCAACGCACGGTCTGACTTGTTTGTGCACTCGCTCATCAACGATATCAGCCAACTGGACCGGTCTTTTCAATGAATGACTCTTTCACTGAATTCCAACACTCATTAGAATGGGACAATGAAGGTCGTTCAGAAGGCACAACCTCATCACAAGTTGATCCTCCCACCAGTTGAGCCATGCGTTTCCATTGCCGATTACGTGCACTACGGCGTTCAATCCATTCAGATCCCATTTTATTAGCTTCATCGATGGCACCACCAGAAGAAGATCCACTCTCCTTCGGATTGGACAATTTTGTCTCTCAAGTATTTAGTGACTTATCCACAATAAACCTTTTAGAGAGAGCTCTAGAAGGTGTCAAAGATAACCATTTGCAATCTGAAATTCCAATGGACCGTAGAGGACAATCTGAAATGTGAATCGAGTCTAATATGTCATACTTAAGTTGGACTTAAGTTCCTTAAGTTGGACTTTGGTGAATATGTCATACTTTGACCCACCCAAAACAGGTTTTTTTGACCCACTGTAATTATACACTTTTAGCTCATAATCTGTAGTAACTGGTAAACCCACATGTTTGTCACCGTCACAATTATTGTCAGCAACACCAAATAACGTCTCTGAAGAATCTGCACCACCCTTTCCAGAACCAGTTTTAAATTTGAAAATGCTGAGATTGCCGCCATGAAGATCTGTAACTGAAACTTTTGAATTTGGAGTAACCGTTACCGGCAACTTCTCCTGTGACACTGGCAACTTCTCATGTGATGCCAATGAACGGAGAAGACCCTGAATCCTCTCCCTCCTCCCATTTCTTCAATAGACGCCCCAAAATCCCATCAAAACCAAGGCATTCACCAAATTTGGAATCTGAATCTTCAGAGATTTCCTCACTTGTGCATTCTCTAGCAAAATGGCCAAACACCCCACAGTAATAACAAAGCTTTGAGCATGATTCAACCTTATGCCCTTGCGGATAAGTTTTTGGACATCCATGAGAACTCTCATTCTGATGTAGCCCCCAGTTGCACCACCTTCACGGACTTCAATTATTTCATGACCAACAAAAATTCCAGAGATCTTCTTTCCCACCCCAAGTGTTGCACACTCAATAGGGATGTTAATAACATGAACCCAAAACCAGGTGCAGGAGAAATCCATAAGCGACGGAGGAATCCCATAACTCCAAGGCTTAAGCACCATTAATTGCTTATCAAAGGTCCAAGGACCACAGTTTAGCACCCGCTACACATCTTCCCTGCGTGGTAAAATAAACTGAATAATCTGATCAGAAATCTTGTTAACCTGCGATTCTTTAGAAAGGTCCAAAAGAAATCCCATCACGTTCCTGATGGCAAACGTATTAACAGACTTAAATCCAAACACCTTACCAACCAAACTGCAAGACCCAGCATTAACACGTTCGGTAATATCTTCAACATCAATTGAGTCTGATTCGTCATAAGACAAAGAAAAATCACTCATTTGGTGTAAGAAACCATCATCCATCGCTGAAGAAATCGAGATCCACAAAGAAAAGGAAGGTTTCTTGGAAACCTATTCTCTAATCCCATAGTATACCTCACACAATAGGATGTCTATATTTCAAAAATTATTAATTTTCTCACCCCTCAAATTCTAGGGTTATTATTATTTATTTTTTCCTAATTGGTACTCACACGCACATGCTTCTACCGAGGCTCGAACCCCTGATCTCCCTTTGGGAAGTAGGAGCCTGGTACCTCTAGGCCACCGGTAGTTGATCAAATTCTAGGTTTACTTGGGAAGATAAAGAAAAAAGCTTAATGGAATGAGTTGGGTTAGAAAAATGGAGAGGAAATCATTTTCCTTGATTTCTTCAGTGAAGTTGGCTATGCTTCTTCTTCATACCAATGTGATTATTCACTTAACAAGGCAGCTTCAGATGCCGTTTACCAAAGCAACCAACACCGTCACGATTTATGGTGCCGTTACAAGCTTGACACCATTGCTTGGGGCCTTCGGGCGCCCGGGGGGGGGGGGGGGGGGGGGAACAAAACTTGAGTTATAAGCCTATAAGATCTCCATATATAACCTAAAGATTGCTCACAAACATGATTATCATTATAAACTCACTTCAAAATTTAAGTACACATAGATATGTAGTTGAAGCAATTTCAAAGGTAAGTTTTAAGATTACACTGTGAAAAGTTAAGCTTGACAGCAAAATATTGTTACATTTGGTCCAATATGCAAAAGAAAAGAGCAATAATCATGTTAAAAAATCAGAGAGTTAATTTAGATGAGAGAAGACACTTGGTCCATATCTTCACAAGTTTTCTGAAAACGAGAGGAGTATATAGGAAAGCTAGTGCAAACAAGAGGAGTATATAGGAAAGCTAGGCAGGAAAGAGAAAGAAAGAGAGAGGAAAGAGATGAAGAAGTAACTGAATGAAAATGTAGAAGGAACACGGAGGAGTTTTATAGACCCCTGTTGATGTGAAATTCTTCTAACATTTAATCAATGATTATAGAATGCCTGCATGATAGTCAACTAATTAAGTTTAGAGTAGACCGAGTTGGTAAACGGCATCTGAAGCTGTTGTGTTAAGTGAATAGTTACATTGGCATTAAGAACACGCATAGCCACCTTCACTGATGCATCAATTGCTGCACAAATTAAACAATACCATCAATTTAAAAATAACATTTGGAGAAAGAAACTTTATATCATTGTTATCAAACTTATATAAAATATTACCAATTATGAAGGTCACAGTGATCAATCCACCCTTTTTCTTTGGAGCTATTTCTTCTGTCATTTCTACTTGGCTTCCTATATTTCTAAGATTTCTTGGGGGAATTCTCGGCGATTTCTTCTGCCTGTGTAATTTTTTCAATTATCTCTTCAATTATTTCTTCTGTGATCTCCAGTGCCTCGGTAATTTGTTCATTGACTTCCTCAATTTCCAGTACCTCTATAATTTCATCCTGGATGCATACAACATAGCTAAATTTTAAAAAACGTGTGGCATGAAATTATACGTTTTTTTAATTTACTGCGTTGTATGAATCCTGGATGAAATTATACAGGCTCCGGAAATTGAGGAAGTCAATGAACAAATTACCGAGGCATTGGAGATCACAGAAGAAATAATTGAAAAGATAATTGAAAAAATTACACTGGCACAAGAAATCGCTCGAGAAATCCCTCAAGAAATCTTAGAAATAGAGGAAGTCGAGAAGAAATTACAGAAGAAATAGCTCCAAAGAAAAAGGGTGGATTGATCACTGTGCCCTTCATTTTTGGTAGTCTTTTATATAAGTTTGATAACAATGATATGAAATTTCTTTCTCCAAATGATGTTTTTAAATTGATGGTATTGTTTAATTTGTGCAGCAATTGATGCATCAGTGAAGGTGGCTATGCTTGTTCTTAATGCCAACGTGATTATTCACTTAACACAACAGCTTTAGATGCCGTTTACCAAAGCAGCCAACACTGTCACTATATTTAGTGCCGTTACAAGCTTGACACCATT